GAACTTCCTATGTACTACCGGGTGTGCCTCCTGAGCTCCTGCTCGAGCTCATGAGGAACAGGCTATTTCTGGCCTGTTCCGCATCCCTGTTTACGTGCCTGAGTCTTACGGGCAGGTCAAAACAATGAGGGCCTGAAAATGGCCCTCCGTTTCAGGCTGGAAAAACTCTGAAAGACCCAGAAATAGGCTGAAACGGAGTAGGGCCTGCAGGCCCTCGTTTTTCAGCTTTCAGGCTGAAAACGACCGGGGCCTGTAAGCCCTATGTTTTAGGCTTTTAGGCTGAATGTCCGGGACGGGCCCTGCAGGGCCCGTGTGGCTACGCAGTATGCCACACTTAACCACTACAGCCAGGACATGGTGTTCAAGAGCAGAACCATACCAGTCGTGATATCCGCCCCACCCCTGCAAGGCTGTAGTGTCCAAACTCGACACACACCACACACACCACCACACGGAGCCTGGCAATCACCGCACACTTTGCTCCAAGTAGCACATGACCCCCATCTGTAGTATAGCCCTCTCAGTTATGCGAGTCTCTGGATCAACCAGGATCAACCAGCACGTGTGTGTGGGGGGGAGGGGGCGGGAGGGGGGCATGTGCACATGTGGGTGCTTGTGTGATGCTTCTACGAGAAAGGTGGCAGGGGGAAACAACAACGACAAACTGCAATAATGATGTGCAGCACAGAACATAAGATCACCGCCTTTCTAAGTGCAAAATTTATGCAAAAAGAAGGAAAACAACTTAAAAAAAGGTGACGAAAGTCGAAAAATTTTCAAAAAAACAATGTTTGATGCTTTCTCGGCATTCGGCTAAGTAAGATCAAGTGTAGTATGATACTAGTATCTGTTCGGCCACAATGGTATTAAATTATTTTTTTCGGGGTTATGGAGGGGTCAGGTGGGTAAGCTTGCTTGCTCGACCCCTCGAGCGTTGCCTCTGTACTGCACTGTGGCAGAGTGTGGCACGGCCCTTCAAAAAAAATAATGATAATAATAAAAAATAATAATAATAAATTGACATAATCATCTTGAAAAATCACAAAAATAATCCCATCGGTGTCTGGTTCTTTTGTGTGCAGGGCGTGGCCAGACATTGGTCCTTAGAGTTCAGCTAAGTGTCGAAAATGGGACCTTGGAGGCCCGTCCGGATAAGCAGGTAAACTTTACCGTGCCATCCATAACGCAAGGTAGTTCGAGGATTATATCACCTCTCATGGTTTTTATGGCTCCACCTTCGATCATCAACAGATTTTTGAAGAGCGTGACGTACAGGCGCGAATTCGCAGAGGTATTATTCCTTCTTCTTCTTCTTCTTCTTCTTCTTCTTCTTTTTGTTGTTGTTGATTCCTTCTTTTCACTTTTTCTCTCCCTGCTTTTTGAATATTTCCTGTAATCCTCCCCTTCTGGCGCAAAGTTTCCACCATATCTTTAATCACTCTACTCCATTAAAAAATGACCCTCTGACTAATTACTAATCAGTAATCACCAACAAAAGAAAAAGGGAAAAGAAAAAGAAAAACAAGAGAAAGGAAGAATATGCAATGCAATTTCATGCATGTGCACATACAGAGAAGGGTAATTAACTTCTCACCACAGCCGGTGATCTCAACAAATGTCGCCGACTCTTCGACATTGGACAAAGGAAGTGTGGGAAGGATTTCACTTGCCTGCACTCCACAGCACAGTTCTGGTCCCTTGTATTGACTCTGCGGTGCCTGCCGCTGCGTCGGGGACCGCGAGGCGGTAAATCATCCACAGCAGACCAGCTTGCTTTCGATCTGGCAGTGCCTTCATAATCCCCTCTTTGCGCTCTCCATGCGGTTTGGTTCCATCTTCCTACCGGTAGGCACGCTGGCAGTAGCCAGTCCCTCTTACCTCCACCTGCCT